GCGTTGAATTTTCATCGATGTTAAGCCTAACAAAAATTTTTTAAAATAATAATCGTCGCTATTGTATTGTTAAAAATTAGAAAATTAAGCCTCGTTTAAATACTGGCTCCCTTTCATGGTCGAATGAGTGTTGCCAGCTAAAACACGTAAAAATAATATTAAAGTAGTCAAGACATAGCCAAATAATGTAGCGCCACATCACTAGCGGACATTTGAAATTTGCCTACTAGGACAGTCGGTTAATCGAGGTGTTGGTTAATCGGGGGTCGGATAATCGAGGCTCTACTGTATTATTTTATAGGCTGAAGCTGATCTACAAATGTATTGAAAATGTCTATTATTTTAATTTCTGTGTATTGTAAAGTAGTACAGTTTTGTTTTTTGTAATTTATAACTCTAATTCATAAATAAATATAAATAAATTCATAGTTATAAATTTTTGGTGAAAATATTACATTGTTTATCTAGATATTAATGAGAAATGATGCTTTTGTATTTGAAAGATAATAACATTATTGGAATGATTAATAGCTTATGCCTATTAAATTATGACAATTAAGTTTAACAAAATATTGTTTTATTATTGATAGATTTATAGACAATAAAATTTTTCAGGATCATGTATGTGAACTATTAACAACAATGGATGCTTGTCAATTACAATTGGATATAGTAAGTGAATTTTAAAATATTTCTAACAATTCAGATAGCTTTATTTATATTGTATTTAGTCATCTATACTAGTTGTAAATGAAAATTTTGTTTATTTTAAAAAAATTTTTTCATAAAGGAATATTTGCATAAAACATTAATTTTAAAGAAGAAAAAGAAAATTATTTAATATATTTAGAATTGTGTTATAATTATATTTGAAACTATAGAAAAATTCTATATAATTGAAATTTATGAATGTAAATGGAAAAATTTTTATTGTCTTTGATTATGTTATAAAAAAAATCTAGCAACAAGTGGTATAACTTTCCTGGCTGTTGAGATTTTATTTAAAAAATAAATTTTATATTCATAAACTGTTTAATATAATTATTAAAATGGAACAGATATAACAGTGAGTAAAAGTGTCTTCTTTTAATAGTGAGAGTAGTGATCTTTATTACATCTTTCTTAATTATCCACAATAAATAGAGACCAAGATTAAAACAGAATTGTTATAATCTTGGTCTGTTTATTGTGGATAATTAAGAAAAATATAATAAAGATCACTACTCTCACTATTAAAAGAAGAAACTTTTGTATTGTTAATCATAATAAATAAAATTGTGTGCACGTTATCTGTTATGATAGTTTGTTGTAAAAAATTTTTTATATTTTTAATTATTGTAAAATGGCAAAAGGCTTAATTTTGAGGATATTGATGAGTTTCATAAAAATGTAAATGCTAATAACAAATAACATTATTAACTCCACACTCCTCGACCTTTAACAAGCAAAATTTAATATCATCAATGCCCTTATACACAAGCTACCATGCCAAATTTTATTTTTTAATCTTTATCCCATCTTGAGATATTAAATGAAATAGATGCCAACACACATACATGTCTATGGAATCTATGGAACTTTTTTGTTGTTGTTTTTTTTTTTTACGTTTTTGAGTTCAGCAGGTCTCAAAACATGAAGATTTGCAAAAAAGCTTGGCAAGTCAAATTTTAAACAAAATCAATACTTTCCCTTGTTATGTATACATAATAGCCATGAAAGTAAAAAGTAATACAGTCAAATCTTAGGTTTCAAACTTAAGTTTGTTAAATTTGTTTGTTTTAATTATAAATTACTGCTATATTAACATATTAATTTTAAGAATTTTTTTAAATGATTGTAGAAAATATGATGCTAAAAGAGAAAGTGTTTTTATATAATTATTTACACTTTTCCTTGTAAATGTATAGTATTATACACATTACATATACAGTTCCTTGTCTGGTTATAGTAATTTACTTGCATTTTGTTTCTTTATTTTTAGGTTAAAAGTTTTTTTATGTTAATGTTTACATAAATTAGAAATTATTTAAGATACTTAAAATCAAGTTTAATATGACAATTAAATATCTGAAATTTAATTCACATTTCAAATAATAAATTTTTTTCAAGGAAATGATTCAGAATTTTAAATTAAATCTGATAAATAACAGTTTTCATTTTATTTAAAATTTTTGATATTAGTTTTAAATTAATATCAAAACTTAATTTAAAATAATTGTAAATTCTAAAACCAGCATAAATCTAGCTTTATATATTTAGATTTAAGTTAAAAAGCATATTTTATAAAACTAATTTCCATTTTAAGTTTTAAAAGAAACAATTAAGTGAGATAAATTCTAACAAGTATGCCAAATGACTGCCAGATTGCATTGGGCTACTTCTCAACTATTATTTTTAATTAATTTCTAAATAATTTGTTACTAGAGGCGGACATTATGTACCTTCTCTTATTAAATTTAGTAATTATAATTAAATGAATAGTTTATAAATAATTTAAAGTAATCATGGAGAAGTAGCCCGATTTAATCTGGCAGTTGTTTGGCATATTATAATATATAAGGCATGCAATGCCAAAAAAACAAATTTTTCAAGAGAGGTAAAAAAATATTTTTTCTAGTGAATTCATTTCAATTTTACAATAAAATGGTAAAAAACTCACTAGGTTGCAAATTCTCTGGAATATCAAAATGATGTAAATATTGATATAAGCTGTAATGTTTCAAGCACCAATGGTCACATGACTTGCACTTTGGTGCTTTTAAATGTTATGGCTTCACATAAATTCAACTTTAAAGTACAGCCACTTACAGTAGTGCCAATATGGCCACAATATTTTTTTTTTGCAGCAGAAAATATTATATTTAGAATTCAATTCTTCAACAAAATGTATTATAAGAAAAATGGCATTTACAATGTTATGACATTGCATGCTTTATACATTGGGTTTTGGAATGTTTGTATGTAAATTCTAATTTTAAAATATTTTTGAAAAATTTTTAAAATAATTTAAAATTAATAATTAATCTATTTTTTTTAAAACAAGTATACATATATGGAAATAAACTATACTTACTAAAATGTGTTTTTTTTAATTATCAATAATATAAAAAACTTTTATATAGAATTTTTTAAATAAATAAACATGCTTTAATTTATAGGAAATTACATATGACAAGCTAATATTATTAATACAATGTCTTCAAAAAGAATGCTAACATTTTAAATTACTGTAATTATGTTAATTATTACCTGAGAAGTAATTGGTGCACATCAGTTGATAGAGTAAATGTTTGAGTTTTGCCTACTATCTGCATTCAAATGACTTTTTGTCTACTGTGTCTAGAAAACATTGAAAATCATGTTGACAATGACTGATTTCTGCTTTGTAAATTGCAGAACATAAATTGCTTTCTCTGTTGCAGAGTCACCATTTTTGTTTACAGCACTTCCTAGAGGCAGCAGACAAAAAAGACATATGCAGATATATATATATATATTCGATGTTAAGCCTAAC